ACTCTTTTGCCTTCTAAGATTTGTCTATCCCCACACAGCCCCAGTGCCCTTCTTCTGTCCTGTTTTTATCAGAGACCTACACCACCCTCTTGACCTTTACTGAGATGGCCCTCCCACATGTGCTCTGGATCACAATATTAAAATCCTGCCTCCAATTACATCAGATCTCCTACTATTTCCATTGCTCTGCTCTCCTCTGCATCTGATCATCACAACACACACATCAGACCAGCTCTGGAGAGATCACACTACTACCCTCAAAGGAGTGCCAGGAGGCCACGCACATCCCAGGACTTCCCTCTGGGGTCTGCTGCAGTCTTTCTTTTGCCCCTACTGGTCTATGCACCCAGTGTGAAATCTCCAGGTTAGCAACACTGTCCCTTCGCGAGCTACTATACAGATCCTCACTTATTACATGGACAATGAAGGAAAACCACTTCCCTTACTAGGGAAGCAGTAAGCCCATAGTTTATCAAGATTCATCAGATTACTGCATTGAAAAGAGATCCAGGTGAGAGAACTAGGCCATAGAATGGGGAACTTTTGATCGGACCACAGGGACGAAACATGTTCTGCATCAAAAGCAACCAGCCCTGGGAACCACAATTATTGCGGGGATGAATGAGGCTCAACAGCCAGAAAATAAGAAGGTAAGACCCCCAAGGCTGTAAGGCAGAGTTACAGAAAGGTCAGTTTCTCCCACTTCCCTTTCTTATAGTTGGGAACCTGCCTACCTGAACCAGAGACAGCAGTTGTCTGACTGGATATGCATATTCATGGCCCCAGGCTGCTGCAGACAGAGACGCGTCAATATTTTAAATCTACATTCTCTCTTTCTGTCAGGAGCTTTCAAGAAGTTTGAAGGGAGAAATTATAAACTTCTTCGGCTTAAAAAGTCATAAATGTTTTCGTATGCAAAGACTGAAAGGGGTAAGAAGGGTTCCCTGTGGGGCTTTTATCATGCTCTTGTGATAGGTCACCTTGAGAAGGAAAAGGGCTCACAGAAAAAGCAATATAATGCACACCACCACCACACAGGCTTCCAAAGTTACTCAGTTTATAAAGTCATTACTTTTGGTTGGCTGAAGCACTTGAAATAGCAAATATAATTTTTATTGATTTCCATAGATGGCACTGGCATTTGGCATACACCTCCCCAGTGCTTCCACACCTAAATACAAAAAGAAGAAAATAAAGAGGGAAGATATTGTAAGATCCCTCTAAAATCTCAGAGGCTTAAGAGAAAAGGTTTATTCCTCATTGCTCTTAAGTCCAATGTGGGATGCAGTCACACAGGCAACTGGATCCTTCCAGTGGATTCTACCCATGGAGCAGTAAATAAGGGAAGGAGAAAGCAGTAGCATCAAAAGACTGTCCTGCACCGAACCAGCAGTGACTCACACCACTCCAGCTCACATCACATATGTGGGAACTGGTCTGTGGCCCAAACTCAATGCAAAGGAGCTAAACAAACATGGTTCTACCATGTGCCCAAGCAGAAAAAAAAAAAAAATGGATCTGTGAGCACCTGGTCTCTACCACAGCAAGCACCATTAACTTTGGCATCTGGTCAGTTTCACATTGGGTATTTCTCAACATTGGCAAAATGTACAGTGCACACATGGCTAGGTGATGCAGGCCTGACAAAGAAGGACATGGAATGCTGAGGTATTGAGAACACAGAGGAGCATGATCAGAGTTGGGTCAAGGAGAGTTTTTGTCAGTAGTGACAACTAACTTAGTCACAGGAGAATTAGACAAAACTTGATGGAGAAAGAACCATGCATCTATGATGAGTCTTAAAATATCAATAGACTTTAGCCAAGCAAAGGATGAAGCTGGAAGAGCATCTCAGGACTTGGGTGCAGTGGTGCTTGCCTGTAATCCCAACTATTTGGGAGGCTGAGGCAGGAGGATCACAAGGATGTGATCCAGGGCAATTTAGTGAGACCTTATCTCAAAAAAAAAAAATTTAAAAGGCTGAGGGTATAGCTCAATTGTACAGCATGAAGTCCTGGTTTTGATAACTAGCACCACAAAAAATAAAAATAAAAAGGCATCTCAAGCAAAGGAACCAATTTGTGTAAAAGCCAAAAGATGTAAATGAGGACAACATGTACAGAAAACAGAAATAAATTTTAGCTTTAGTAGAGCTCATAGTATAAAGAGATGGAATTTACAGTGTGTCAATTAGCTACTGCTGTGTAACAAACTGTCCCCACAATCAGGACCACGAGTTAAGGTGTCAGCTGGGTAGTTCTCCTCTCCACTAGGCTCATTTACATACTGGCTGTCATCAGAGTGTTGGACAGGCAGCTCTGTCGTGCATGTCTGGGCCTCAGCTAGCTATACACTGGTCTAGGACAACCTTGGCTGTGACATCTGGCCTCTGTTCCAAATTTGCTCCCATATTCTGGCAAGCTAGCCTGATCCTGTCCACATGGCAGTGGCAGGGTTCCAAAAATAAGCATAAGTACTCCAGGTTTCCTGAGGTCTAGGCTCAGAATTGACACAGTGCCACTTCCAGTGAATTTAATGAGCCAAAGCAAGTCACAAAGCCAGGCCAGGGTCAAAAGGTAGGGAGATAGGCTCAACCCCTTGACATATTATTTTTGCACAGATTATGAATGCAAATGAGAAAACCTCTTTCTCAGTCTCTCATCAATCTGCCACAAACACAGAGCAATAGCAAGAATGAAACTTGGACAGATCAGTAGGTTCAAATCTTGAAAAGCTTTGTCCAAATCAGAGTCTAGAGAGCCATGGAACCAACAGGATCAATACGGACTCTACAAAGCTGTTGCTTTAACCTGAATGATAGTTGAAGAAGATCTGAACAGCAGCAGAAGAGAAGGAGTGCAATGATTAGATTTAAGAGGTAACCAGGGCTGGGGATTTAGCTCAGTGGCACTGCAGCTGCCTTGAAAGCCCAAGGTCCTGAGTTTGATCCTCATACCAAAATAAATTAATTAATTAATTAAAAATAAATAAATAAAAACAAAAGAAATCTGGATAAAGCATAAATTTAAAAAAAAAAAAAAAAAGAGGTAACCAGGCAGATACTATCCACTATGGAGTAAAGGAAGAGAATCACCTCAGAGTCTATCACTGGTGAGTGGCCAAGCTAGATTAAAGCAGTCTTCTACAACCCAACCTGATATTGCCACTGCTCACCTGGATACATTATTTTAAATTCAGGGATTTATTTTCCATCCATATTTCCTTGGCTGCTTTCTGAGCCCATCACCAGGAAACAGTAACACCATGGCCATTATAAGAAGTAAAACTCATCAAGATATAAAACCTAGTTTATCACACTAACAGTCAAAAATGGAATGCTTTTAAAAGATAAGGAGGGCCGGGGATTTAGCTCAGTGGTTCTGCCGCCTGCCTCACAAGCATAAGGTCCCGAGTTCATCCCTGGTACTAAAAAAAAAAAAAAAAAAGATAAGGAAATAACGATAGACACTAGTAGCTAGCACACCTACCTACTGTGGCCTGGAGAATCATTAACCATTGTTAGATAAATAAATCATAGCCGTTGCTGGCCCAGAGCTTGCTTCTCAGTGTGGTTTATGTGAGAAGCACTTCAGATCCAAATCAACACGAGCCATTTGGAGCACCCACCCTGTTGACTTTCAGTGTGAGATGCATTTACTTATTTATTTTATTTCGGTACTGGGGATTGAACCCCAGGCCTTCACACTGAACTACATCCCTAGCCCTTGTTTGTTTATTTATTTATTTATTTTTATTTTGATACAGGGTCTCACTATATTGCTCAGGCTGGGCTAGAACTTGTGATCATCTTGCCTCAATCTCCCAGTCCTGGGATTACAGGCATGCAACACCACACTTGGCTTGAGGCTCATATTTGAAACCTGTTTGTTCTCTCTACCCAGAACATGTCAACCCTTTGTCACAAATTCCAGCGTCAGTTCAATTTCAACTGCTCTTGTGAATGACTGTAACTCTGAAGAAGAGCTCCTCAATCGTATGTATGCAAAATAAATATTATCTATATTCTGATTTTTGCAATCACACCCTCCAAATCTGATTAAAACTACCTAATTGATTTTGCATGACATAGTGATCAATAGAAACTACTTCTACTTATAGTGGAATTTTGAAACCTCTACCTTGACCATAAATTGCACTGCAATGCAAAGTGACACAAAACATTCATTTACCATTACTGATTTTGAGCTAGATACAAGCCACCTGCCATTATTCCCTTTTATTCAGGTCTACTATGGTAGTTGATCTGCAAAGATGGCTTCTACCTAGCCCTCACATGTACACAGACAGAATCCATTTCCCCACCTCTTAAGTTTGGTTTGAACTCATAACTTGCTCAAGGCAATAGAATAGGACTTAGGTGACAACAGGCAATTCAATAGCCCTTGCCATTTCTGCCTGGCGTGACTCTCCTGGAATCTTGTGAATTAATGACAAGCTGTCAGATACCAGTGACAGCCTGTGTAAACTGTCCTGTGGAAGACAGTGTATGTGTACTTAGTCTCTAGCATGCAGTAGGTGTTACAGTAGATGTAGTTTCTTGCCTCACTTTCTATGGCCAACAGTTTCTATCTGGGGAAGGCTGGAATTAAAATTTTTTGTGCATTTTTTTAAGAGTAAAAGAATAGTTCTTTCCATTTCCTTGCTCAGAAACCTGAGGTAATGATGGCCAGTTCAAGTGTGTCAAATATGATTACCTTCTGAAGGACAGCAGCAGGGTTCTTCAAAAACCCTTTCCTCTTACTGGGAGAAAGGGTTCACTTTGTAATGCATTCACAAGCAGCAAGAACAGAGAGTACTTTGAGTTCTGAATACTAAGTATAGTTCAAAAATCCAACTCATTGGAAAGGAGAAAGGAAAATCACAGGTTTTACAACAAAGTCACTTTTCAGGTTCTCAGAATCACTTGAAAAGACCTATTTTATTGTTTGCCTGCCAAACTTGAGTTTCCATCCTACAAGGCTAACTACATCGGTCTCCATGGGTCATCAGGGCTGCTGCAGCAGGAAAAACCAGTCACACTAGTGGAGGGCAACACAGCAGGTGGCAACTGGTTCCCTCCTTGGAGCTCTTTGAGGTTTCATAAGGAGAAAAGGGTGTGGTAGGTGGATGGGGGTGGTGGTGAGGGTGGCACAACATTCTCTTCCCAAGACTGTATGTGTGACGGAAGTAGCAGAGCTGGTAACAGTCCAAAATCTGGATAGAGATTAACAGAAAAAGAGTGTGCCTGCTAAAGTATGGCCACCACTAGGAAATAGAATCATCCAAGGTCAGCACTCACCTGTGACTTTGAGGCATGCCTTCCGCTCTTGGAGACTGTGCCAGTATATGGGGTACTTTCAAGACTGAAAGAAAAGAAGGAAGGACATGAAAAGTTCAACACCACCCACAAGCAGATGTTTCTGCTAAGGCGGTAGGGTGGGGAAGGTTCTCCTGTATCAATTTGCTTCAACCTGTGAGTTGGAGTTTGCAAACACTCACAAAATAACCAGTGAATTGAAGCCTTTACTTTAATAAGGAGAAATTGTGACTCATTACTCCATGTTTGAACAAGGCCGTGTTTTCAGTTTTCTAAATCTACCTCTAGTCCTATACACTGGAGGACAGTGAGAAGCTTAGTAGCTGCCATTTTTGTGGTTGCTGCTCTCAAAACATAGTGCTGATGCCGTCCTGCAAAATGGGAAGTGGGGGCTTTGTTCGGCAGCCCCTCACCATCACTATTATCACCACTGTCCTTTGTACTATACACCATAGTTGAGAGCCCCTCCCTCCATTTGTTGGTGCTGGCTGCTCTACATTCTTCTTCTGATCTGCTCTCCTAAGTCTTCTATGGTAGACAATGGTCTACCATATTTGAAGTGCTTTGTACAAGAAGCAGACTATATTGGGGGCAATCTACACAGAAGTCTATAATTCCTGTCCCTTCTCAGTCTTCAGAAACTTTGATGTAGCCTTTCTCCCTCACATGGAAAATGAAAAGAGTTGTCATAGCACCCACACAGCATGAGAGCCCAAAATTTAAGACTGCCTACTCTTAGATATGAATGGAAAACTTCTCTGTTCATTCTTTGGCTCTGATTCTACCACAATGAATAAAGCAAAGCATAAGCTAAGAATAAACCATGGCTGTTCCTTCCTCCTCTCACTTTTGGTAAATATCAGTAAGCAATTATTGCTAGGCACAGAAATGTAAAGTTGCTCACATAACTTGCTAATGCTTTCTTTGTTCAAGGCAATGTAGACATTAAACTCCATGGAATTGTTATTGTATGTTTACTTTTCTTTTTTCTTTTTTTTTTTTTGTTTAAATTCTTTTATTGGTACATTTTAGGTATACAATACATTTACATTTATCATTGGGTGCTTGTATCTGTACATGATGAATCTTAGTTCTTATTTTTTCCCCCATTACTTGTGCGCCCTTCACCCCCTCCACCCTTCCCTATTTACATAGACTTTGTTTCCATTTTTTTCTTTTCTCATAATTTTTCCTTTCCCTTCTTTCCTTTCCCCTTCTCCTCCCACCACCCCTACCCCTTTGGACTTTTTCTTTCTATTTCAAATTATCAATTATTCATTTTAATCATTTTAATCCTTATTTACACTTTCAGTTTCTTACACTAGAGAAACTATTAGGTATTTACACGTGTGTCCTATTTATTTCACTTAAGAGTATGGCTTCAATATGCATCCATTTATCTATAAATGCCTCTAGTTTCTTGTTCTTTATGGCTGAGTAGTACTCCATTTTATTAAAAAAAAACCCATATCTTCTTTATCCAGTTTCCAGTTGATGGGCACTTGGACTGTTATCAAGCTTTAGCTATTACGAACTGCGCCGCTATAAACATGAGTGCACATATATCACTGTGGTATGATCACCATGCACTAAACTAAGATCAAAGTGGATGAAAGATCTAAATATTAAAACAGAAACACTAAACTTGCTGAAAGATAAGTTAGGTAGAACTCTTGAAGACATTGGCATAGGAAAAGACTTTATGAACAAAACCTCAGTAGCACAGGAACTAGGACAAAGAATCAACAACTAGGATCTCATCTTATTAAAAAGCATTTTGGGCCAGAGATTTAGCTCAGTGGTTCTTCCACCTGCCTCGCAAATGAAAGGACCAGAGTTCAATCCCTGGTACTAAAAAAAAAGGCTTTTGAGGGTCAGGGATTTAGCTCAGTGGTTCCTGCACCTGCCTTGCAAGCCCAAGGTCCTGAGTTTGATCCCCGGTACCAAAAAATAAAAAATAAAAATAAAAAGCTTCTGCACTGCAAGAGAAACCACCAACAGAGCTATGAGACAACCTACAATGTGGGAAAAAAAAGTTCAGCAGCTGTACCTCAGATAAAGGACTACTATCTAGAATATATAAAGAACTGAAAAATATCAGACCCCCCAAATTCAAAGACCCAATTCAAAAATAGACATTTGAAATGAACAGACATTTCCCAGACAAAGAAGTAAAAGCAGCAATTAAACATGTTTACTTTTCAACATAATTATAATATGCAGTAATGTTATTATTTATGGTGATCCCTTCTATTAATTAACATTAGCAGCATTATCATATATTATCATTTATTGGGAGCTTATTTTTTGTGGTAAGTGTAGGAGTATTCTGCAATCATTGTCTTTCCCACATTTTAGCATAGTACTGTATTTTGTGCCTGGGGGGGGAGTTATTTTCTTTTGTTCATTTGAGACAAGGTCTCAGAATATAATCCCTATGAACTTACCATGTAGCTGAGACTGACTTCAAACTCATGATCCCCCTCCATCCCCCTCTGAGTGTTTGGATTATAGATTTGTGCCACCATGCCCAGCTGTATTTTCTGTTTATTTATCTGCCCTAATAGACTTTGAGCTCCTTCAAAAATGAAAAAAGATACATATGTATATATGTGTGTGAGTATATATGTGTGTGTACACATGTATTTTAATATCTAGTCTTTAAGTATTCCTTATTACTCAATAAATATTTGCTGACTTGTTCTACTGATTATATAAAAAGAGTTTCCAATGCTTATCTAACAGTATTACCTACAGCATCAGAACAATAGGTAAAAACTGATTGTCATTTAATTCAATCACTATCTATCACAAAGTCACTGAAAGAGGAAGAGACCTTAAAGAATATTTAGTTCTCTAAGAATTTAGTTCAGGGTGCTATACAAATAAAAGAAACAGGGTGGGGAATAAATAAGGAACTGAGTTCAGGTCTGTCTACTCAGGCCAACCTTTTCATCTCTCTATGGTTCGGTTGGTTCATCTGCCCAGTAAGGTTAGCGACATCCAGACAAATGACTGGTGTGAAGCTAGACTGAGACAATGTTTATGGAAATACTTTGCATACTGAAAACATCATATAATAAAATGTTCTTTATTTTGTTTTTGCTTTGCATAGAGCCTGAGACGTAGTAAATGTATAATAGCTGTCCTGTTGTTAATAACGTGGGTAATACAGAAAATTCGAATGACATATAGTATTTACTATGTTCCAAGCATTATTCTGAGCAGTTTTTCTATCTTAACTTATTATTCAAAACAATTCATGAGCCAGATCCCATTTTTATCATCCCTATCTTAGAGAGTGGGAATTGAGGCAGAGGTTTTATCACTTGAAACAGGGAACAGAGAACCAGGATTTGTATTCATGCAATCTAGCTGGAGTCTGTGAGATTAATCATTACACTATACTATAAATCACCCATAATTTAGAAATAACTAATATATTTGTTAAGAATTTAATATGTTCCTTCAGATTGATAAATTTATATGTATATAAAGTGGGGCATGGTGGCACACGCCTATAATCCTAGCTCTCTGGCAGACCACAGCAGGAGAATCCCAAGTTCCAGCCCACTACTTGGTGTAATTTAACAACTCAATGTGAACTTGTCTCAAAATAAAAAATGGCTGGGAATGTAGCTCAGTGTGAAAGTCTTGGATTCAATTCCCAGTATGGCAAATAAAATAAATAAAGTGTATGTTGGTAAATATATTTATTTATTTATTTAAAATTTTACTTACATCTAAATAGCTTATTTACTTATTTATGGCAGTACTGGGATTGAATTCAGGGCCTTTTCCCTGAGCTATATCTCCAGCCCTTTTAGTTTTATTTTTTATTTTGAGACAAAGTCTCATTAAATTGCTAAGTTGCTCAGGCTGTGTGGGAACTGCAATCCTCCTGCCTCAGCCTTTCAGAGTTTTGAAATCACAGGAGTGTACCAACCATACCTGGTTTGCTTTTTGCTTTGTAAAAAATTTTAAAACAGATGTTTATTTATAATTTTTTAAAAGAGCATTGGGTTATATGCTGCCATAACCTATTTTAGTTAACAATAAATAATAAGTAAATGCAAATATTATTACAATTCTAAAATAATTGTAATTGATATACTGATATCTACTCAATTCTCTTTTGTTGTGCTTTCACATTATACACAATGTTTTGTATGGTAAATTACACTGTGATGAACATCTCTGAATTTAAAATGTGATGATAATATTCCTCACTTTTTTCTTTTTTGGTACAGGTATCAAACTCAGAACCTTCCACTTGTGAGCCAGGCAACGGAACCACTGAGCCAAATCCCCGGCCCCTCACTTTTAAATCTCTGTATCACTTTTTAACATAGGCCCACATAAGCTATGAAAAATAACTCTCTCTCAACAATAGATGCAGTCCACAAACTTTCTCACTTCAATACTTTATGATAGTGAAACCAAATTGTACCTGCTGCCTACCAGCAACACTACCTGATAATTACACAAGTCATTTTAAAAGACTTTATGTGTAATTTTATTTGTTTTCTATTTAAAAGCCACTGCCACTATATCATCAGTGATTCAGAGATGTAGTAATGGAAGAACTAAGCAGCAATCATAAGTTGAAACTTCAATACTAGGGATTGAATCCATGCCTTTAGACTAAGATAAATCTCCACTCCCTTTGTTTGTTTGTTTTTGTTTTAAATTTGAGATAGTCTTGCTAAATTGCCCAGGCAGGGCTCTAACTTGCAATCTTCCTGCCTCAGTGTCTGGGATCACAGGTACCACCACACCCTGCTAAGCTGAAACATTTTTGGAAATAAACAAAAGCTCTCCTCAAATGCAAATTCATTCCAGGGACTAGACAAGGTCTAAAACATAGCAAATGCTTGCTCAGTGAATAATAAGGCTCAGGATACAGCTGAACATGTGAAGGAAACCGGAGAAAGGAAGGGAAAAAAGTCTTCTTCCCTGACTTTGCTCAAAAGACTACTCATAGCATTGTGGTAAATAACTTCAGTGTGATTCTCATACCAACTATAGAGCGAAATAAGAATAGCAAAACAATCAGTTTACATTCTATCACCTTCCTGGTATGATCTTCTAGGGCCTTGGCATATTTACATAAGGCTTGGAGGTCTCCCAAATACATCTCCCAGGGAACTTGAGGGAAACCAAAATAATCAACCAAACTGGAAGGACTCGTGATGTCTGCTATAAAGTAAAAGTAACAGGACCTCTGTGTCCATACTTACTATAGTGGGAAGGGGTGGTGGTACTCTACCAATCCAGCTGTAACCACAGGGTCAGCACAGGGAAAACGTTTCAGAGAGGAGATGTGTTTCAAGCAACTCTCTCTTTCTCTGTGAGGTGTCCACAGGGACTCTGGAAAAATGTTAACACCCAACAGTTTTCAAGTCAAAGGTGCGGTATGGAAGTGTGGCTTTGTATTCTGAGTAGATGCTAAACATGAAATTGGGGGAAGAAAATAATAATTGTTAAAATAGACGTACTCTGTCCTAAGTGACCAGGCCAATTCTGTGTCAGAATCTAAGGAGCCTGTTTCTTATAATTGCTTCATTCACTTTCTTGCCAAAGGAAGATTTCATATTGAAGAGAGATGGATTCTTCTAGCATGACTGATTTTTGGAGCACACAATTAAACCTAAAGGTATGCCAACTATTGACTCAAATGTTTCAGAATCCTAAAATGTTGAATCTGGGAGGACTTTTGCAGTCAACAAATCTCATTTCAGTATTTCTCCAGGTGAAGAATTAAGGCCTAAAATGTTGGAAGTAACTTTTCCAAAATGGTAAAACAGGTTTGTGGCAAGATCCAGAATGTGAGCCACAGCCTTATGTTTGTTTGTTCAGTTGGTTGATTGGGTTGGGTGGGGTTGGGTTTGGTTTTATGAGCCAGGGTCTCACTGTATAGTTCAGGCTGACCTTGAACACCCTATACACCTGCCTGTTCAGTACTGAAATTATAGGCATCTGCCTCCACAACAAGCTCACAATCTTGATTGCCACTTCTACACCTCTACTCAAGGCACTCCTCTACTCTGCCTTGTCCCAGTAAATAGCACTGCAACTCACACACAGTCCCATGTCTGTGGCTCATCTGTAATGGCCTCCCTTAGACCTGCAGTCGCCAACCTTTCTGGCATGAGGGGATGGACTCAGTACAATTCAAGTGTGTTACATTTCTTGTGCACTTTATTATTATTACATTGAAATATATAATGGAATAATTATACAGTTCACCATCATGCAGAATCAGTGGGAGCTTTGAACTTGTTTTCCTACAACTAGATGATTTTTTCTGAGAGTGATGAGAAACAGTGACACTTGGTTTTGTTGCTTATGTCCAGTCTATTCCGTGATCTCATTTTGGTTGCTGTCACTGCAGAAAACCTTGCTTCACAAAAATAGGATGTTGCAAATAAAATCAGGCTTTTCAGTGCTTTCGGGACAATCTCAGGACATTCCACCTTGACTTAAATCCAAAACTTATGGAGATCTGAAGACCTCTCAAATATACTTTTAAGGTCACTGTCAGTGTTATAAGACCTCAAACACTTGATCTTATTGTAGTGTGGATAAAGTTGAATCACTTGGCTTATTCTCAAATGAGTGGCAGGTCCATTCCTTCCTAGTTCAGGTGTCTTTTGTGGTTGGGAAGTAATGTCAAACTCTTTTGAAAGCCAAGATTGGTGATCATGTGCCAAGTGGGAGAAAGAAGGCCCTGGCTCAGTCTCATTCAAATTCTCTGCTAATATTTGAAACATGTCAAAAATCTCAATGTTCATTTGTTGCCTCCATAATTTCAGTTTGGCTTTGGACGCAGCCACTTTATCTACCAACTTGAACAGAGCTGTCATTCTCCCCTGAAGTAACAGATTGAGTTTGTTGAAGAGGTTGAATATGTCACGATTAAACAAATTTTGCAACCCATTCTGTATCAGAATGTGATACCAGTGAAACATGCTGTCAGTGATGACTGTTTTTCTTAAAGAAATCTCTGGCATGGCTTTCAAAAATCATAAACTCTGGCCAATGATCTACCTTTAGAAAGCCACCTTACTTCTCTTTATTAAAAAAAAATGTGTGTCCTCTGTGTCCATCTCCTTACAGAGCTATGTAAACAGACATAAGGTTAAGGCATACTTCAATGTACTTGATAATTTTAGTCGCATCCTATAAAATGTTGTTAAATTCAGGAGATGTTTTTCAGTTAGTCAGTAATTCTCTATGTATGACACAGTGTATAAACTCATATTCAGAAGCAACTTTTCTGACCCAATTAATGAATCCAGAAAGCTATCCAGTCATGGGAGCCACTCTAATCATGGATATATTGATACAAAATGACCATTTCATGGTTGTTTGAATGATATTTAATCATTCAAAGATTTAAATAGTTCTGGCCAGGTGTGGTGGCACATGCCTGTAATCCCAGCACTTGGGAGGATGAAGCAGGTGGATTCCCACAAGTTCGAGGCCAACCTGGGCTACATAATGAGTTCAAGGCCAGCCTGAAGTACATAGCAAGACCCTGTCTCAAAAAAAAGTACTTTAGATTTAAATAGTTCTACATTTGTGATATCAGAGGACAACAAAAGTGCACATAACGTGTGAATCCTCCTGAAAAATATACCACACAGAAACAAGCACTGTTGCCTTTTGGTCAACATAAATGTACTCATCAACCTGGATTGCTGACACATTAATCCTTTCTAACAAATGTACCTCAATATCCTCTACTATTTCATCAATTCATCTAGTTATGGTGCTAGGCAAAGGAGGAAGCATGCAACATTTTCAATCTCAGCCTTTCCTAAAACCTCACAACAAATACCCTTAGTAGCAGGCAGAATCAACTCCTCACCTTAGTAAAGGGCTTCTTAGCTTTAGTGATGCAGGTAACCACTACGAATAATGTTCTTAGTCCAGACACATTTGATGAAGCGGTGGGAATCAGTAATTGTTTCTGTTCTTCATGTCCACCTTTTTCCTTTTGAAAAATTCCAAAGGCTGTGTTTTAATGCAGGGATGCTTGGTTTCCATGTGGTGTCGCAGTTTTTTCTTTTCTTTTGGTTAGCAAAGGTATGCATTTATTGAAGGTGAAAAAGAAGTACTCTCTGCAGAGTGAGAGCAGGCCAGTGAACAGACACACAGCAGTCATGAGGGTAACGGAAAGGGGTCTTTTGCTTCTCCCTCATGCAAATAAGACACTGGGACAGTTGTCCTATCAATTACATGGCCTAGCACCAAATGTAAACTGCCCTATCAAAACATTTGCTTAGGTTCTTAGAAAATGTAAATGAAGAATTGAAAATAGCACTTTTCTGATTGATTCTCTGTACAATACTCAGGAACTGCAGAGTCATCCTAGATCCTGTGTTCTGCACATGTCCTGGATCTCCATGACTTTGACACCTCCCACCTAGGTGTTCGACTGGTTTCCCCCCAACTCTAATCTTCTACCTAATTTCACCCTGAGAGAAATAATCCCCATAATTCTTTTTGGGATGCTGAGGGTGTGATGGTCTCTCACTTCTCATAGCTGCTTTCTGCTGAAAGGGGCTGTAGGTCCCATCTATTGAGTATTATGTACTCTCTGGATACCTTGGGATGTTGGGGCTTACTGGCTGGTAAGAACCTGCGCCCATATGTCAGGAATTATGGAGCTGCCTGTTCAGTGGGAGAAAGGTCCATGAATTTCTCAGGAAGATCATTGCCTATAGTCTGGATCATCATCTGAAGGTGGATCTTTTCAACCCTTGACTAGATAAATTTTACTATTAGGTTAAGGAAGTAGAGGTCAAATATGAGAAGAAGCAGAGTCACCACAAGTAGTCCCAAGAGATGAGGAACCCAGTGATTTTAGGAAGCTAAGATTAAAGAGGATCAAGGCATCTTGAACAGGTGAGAATATTTTCTGGTATGCCTTAGAAAGTGGACTATGTGGGAACTAGCACAAAGAATCAACAACTGGGATCTCACCTAACTAAAAAGCTTCTGCACTTCAAGAGAAACCACCAACAGAGGTAAGGACAACATACAATGTGGGAAAAATTTTTTACCAGTTGTTCCTCAGACAAAGGACTACTATCTAGAATATATAAAGAACTCAAAAAAATCAGACCCCCCCCAAATATAAAGACCCAGTCCAAAAGTGTGCATCTGAAATGAACAGACATTTCTCAGACAAAGAAGTAAAAGCAGCAAATAAACATATAAAAAATGTTCAACATCACTGGTCATTCGAGAGATGCAGATGAAAACAACACTGAGATTCCACCTCACCCCAGAAAGAATGGCTGCTATCATGAAATCAACCAATAACAAATGCTGGCGGGGTTGTGGGGAGAAAGGAACACTGCTCCACCACTGGTGGGAGTTTAAACTGGTACAACCACTGTGGAAATCAGTATGGAGATACCTCAAAGAACTAGGACTGGAAGTCCTATTTGACCTACCTATTCCCCTGCTGCGTATCTTCCCCAAAGATTTAAAAGAATCATACCACAGTGATATTATATGTGCACCCATGTTCATAGCAGCATAGCTTGTAATAGCTACAACTTGGAAACAGCCCAATTGCCCATCAACTGGAGACTGGATAAAGAAAATGTGGATTTTTTTATAAAATGGAGTACTACTCAGCCATAAAAACAAGAAATTAAGAGACATTTATAGCTAAATGGATGCACATTGAGGCGATACTCTTAAGTGAAATAAATAGGACATACATGTGTAAATACCGAATAGTTTCTCAAGTGTGAGAAACTGAAAGTGTAAATAAGGACTAGAAGGTATAATAGATAATATGAAATAGGAAGAAAAGGGGCAAAGGGGAAGGGAAAGTGGGAGGGGTAGGGGAAAGGAAAGAAGGGAATGGAATTAATATGAGAAAAGGAAAAAATGGAAACAAAGTCTTTGTAAATAGGGAAGGATGGAAGGGTTGAAGGGAGGGCAGGGGAATGGGGAAAAAATAAGAACCAAGAGAGATTATGTAAAGGTGCAAATTTCCAATGATGAATGTCATTATATTGTATACATAAAATATACCAATAAAATTAATTTTTTAAAAAACTAAATACAAGGTATAACTTTTCATGGTTAAAGGGAGAAGCACCTAATAGGTGAAACCTTTTGCAGTGGAAGTTCTTTTGGAGGCCTTCAGATCCTAATGTTGTTTCATTCATTCATTCATTCATTCATTCGTTTTTGGTATTACTGGGGATTGGACACAGTGGTGATGTACCACTGAGCTATACCACCAGCCCTTTTTATGTTTATTCTAAGACAGGTCTGCTAAATTGCCCAGGCTGGCCCCATACCTGGAGTCCTCCTACCTCAACCTCTGGAGTAGCTGGGGTTTTTTTTTTTTTTTTCAGTTCTGGAGTTCAGAGGATTAAACCTAGGGCTTTTACCTTTAGCTGTATTCCTAAACCTTTTTTCTTTTATTATTTTGAGAAAGGGTCTCACTGAGTTGCTACATTACCCAGGCTGGGCTCAATCTTGTCAGCCTCCTAGCTCAGACTGCCAGAACGTTGAGGTTACAGGAATGCACCTCATAGTCTCACAGGACAGCACTGCTTTCCTCTCTAGCCCTCTGGGAAATTCCAAAGACTGTTCTTGCCCCAGGGCCATTCCTCTTCCTGTAGCAGGTAAAACATATTCCCTATAGGAGAAAAATCTCAAAGTTAGAGTTACAACATTTGGAAAAACTAGTAGAGGTGTTGGTACACAAAGTGGCCTCTTTGCTGTCTCTGTGACATGGTAAATGACAGTGAAGGATCTTTACTCCCGCCTGTCAATAACAGTTGGGTTATATGTGTGTCTTCCAAAGATTAATATCAACTGTCAGAGACAACTGGGTCTAAACCAACCAATAAGAATGAAGAGAAAGTACTGGAAATGTTTCATAGTTGCATATGTATCTCCTTTAACTCTTCAGTGATAGTGGTCTAGATTACTATGGTTAGTTTATTTGACTCACTCTTTTCTTCCTCTCCAACTGGATTCCCTCAGGCAAATCATCTTTCTCCTTATAACTGTGTGGAAGGGTAGGTAGGTGGGATGGATAAAGGCTTAGGTCTTCCAGCTCTCACATAATGTTTAGAAAGTCAGCTAGTTTTTGTGTGACTTTTTTTTCTTTTAAAAATCAACTAGTTTTGTTTTGTTTCTAAACATACATCCTCTACATTTTAAGTGACCAGTAAAAGACTGTGGGTGATATTCTTTGCTCACATTCTAACCTGGAACCAGAAGTATTCATTGAGAGCGCCCTAAAGGCCTGGTTGTTATTAAACAATGTATAATTACTTTCTTTGAGTCAGATACTGGGCCCTGGCTCTAACCCAGAGAAGTGGCAAAAAATCTCATGTTAATGTTTTATTGTGGTAAACATTGCTTGTGGTTGGTTGGCCTCAAGCAGGGATAAATTAGGCACTAAAAACAATTCAAAGATTGTGTGTGTGTGTGTGTGTGTGTGTGTGTGTGAGAGAGAGAGAGGGAGAGAGAGAGAGAGAGACTGGGGATTAAACCCAAGGCCTTTTATTTTTCAATGAAAGCAAATAATTCTCCATGAGTAGTTCACAATACCCAGAATAACAAGTTTTGCAAAGTACTTTTACACATCCTACATTGTTTCAGTCTCATAAAACCCAGAAAAGTCATTAGACTTGGCATTATTACCTACATTCAACAGACCAGGAAATTGAGATGGAGAGTGTTTAAGTGATTGGCAAAGTCAATGAGCTAATTAACCAAAGAGCAAAGCTCATTTTCCGACATCCTAGTATAACTTCTGACAAAGCACTCAAGTTTGATTTCTTTATGTTTGTAGAGCATTTTATAATTATTCCTCCTAATGCACAGTTCTATAGGCATCTTTTAAACTCATTTAATCCCATCCCCACCCTATGTATAAGTATTCTTATGATTCCATTTTATAGATGAAAGTTTGCAAAGTTATAAACCCACACTTCTTGATATAATAATACTTGGAGTACCCTTTTTAGTACTTTAATGTGTTTCAGTGCTTTGTTAATCAAGAATACAAATTTGAGTGGTGGGAATGTAGCTCATTGGTAGAGTGTTTGCTTAGCCTGTACAAGGGCCTAGTCAGTGATGGAAAACCATTGAGAGCTTTCAATGATACAAACTGCCCGTTGCCCACTGGAGCCTGTGTGCCGTAGGTTTGCTACCACTGGATTCAATCCCAAGTATTGAAAAAATAAAACACACACACACAAATTTGAGATCCTGAAGTAATCTCTAAAACAACCTCTGAGAAGAGAGGGCAATTTTTTTTTTATTTAAACCAAGAGCCAGCAATAATTCTAGTCATTATTACTGATGTTATAGATAACTTCTAAAAATGAAAAAAATTTTTCAGTACTGAGGATTTAACCCAGGGCCTTTGCCCTGAGCTATATCTCCAACCTCCACCCCCTTTCTAAATTTTTGAGACAGGTTCTCGCTAAATTGCCCACACTAGATTTAAACTTGCAATCCTCCTGCCTCAGCTTCCCTTAGTGCTGGGATTATAGGTGTGTGCCACTACCCCTGGTTTAAAAGTAATACATTGATATTGACAAGGTACCAAAAGAATTCATTGGAGAAAGAATTGTCTATTTAACAAATGGCCCTAGGACACCCAGACGGCCAAGAATGCAAAAGAATGAAGTTGGGTTCCTACTTCACACCATATACATAAATTAATTTAATATGAACCAACCTGAAGCTTGGTGTGGTAGCATGCATTTATAATCCCAGCACTATGGGAAGCTGAGGCAGGAGGATTCCAAGTTTGAGTCTAGTCTGAGTAAATTCACAATGTAGTAAGAGCCTGTTTCAAAATTTAAAATAAAGGGGGTGGGTCAGGATGTAGCTTAGTGTGAAGGCCCTGGATTTATTCCCAGTACCCACCCCCCAAAAGGAGGAGGAACCATCTTGAATTTAAGACTTGAAACTACAAAACTCTTAGAAGAAAATTTAGTG